CCTCCCTCCCTCCCTTCCTTCCTTCCTTCCATTTTCAGTGAGGAAACTGGTGAACTTGGGTCTGGCTGTGTTATATTTAAGGTGCTGGTGGTGATGAGGTGTCCAAGAGGCCAGAGGAAGGTCAAGGAGTTTTCATGCAGGCAGGATGAGATTCAGGCGTAAGTGGGACCTCAGGAATGAAGAAAGGCAATAATTTTTAAGTAGAAGGTGATAAGCAGCCATGTCTTTTACTCTGAAACTTGAGTGAGCTGATGCCACCAGATTGCCCACTGAATCTGGAGGATTAGGGGGGAGCTACTTTTACACATGTAATCACCTTTTGTATACCCAGGGGTCAGAAAGGAGCAGAGCAGATATTCATGAATATTTGTTCAATGGAATTAATTTGGGGAAGGGACACTTCTTTCTTTGAGTTAGGATGTTGGGTTTCCATCCTAAATCTAGCACTTACTAGCCAGCAATGCAGGTAGTAATGCCACTGCTTGCTTCACAGGGTGAAGACAAGGGCTAAAGGAGCTATGTGTAAAGCACTTAGCACAGAGTCTGTCCTGTAGGGAGTGCTTGAGATAAATGACTGTTCTCATTGTGTTCTTTGTGTTAGAAGAAGAGCTAGCAAGCAGCCACATAACTCAGGAACTGAATATTAGGGTTTTCCAGCCCATTTCTGAGGCTCCTTATGTTCCTGTCTTCTATTAGTTACACAGTTTACTATTATGGATGGCTATGGGGAGTAGGGGAATAGGACAGAACGTACTTCCTGAAGAAAGCAATGAGCTTCTGGCTTCCAGGTGAACTAAGTGGAAGGAACATGGGTTAAAAAAAAAAAAAAAGGCATCAAAGAGGGCCCGGAAGCTGACCCACTGTTTTGCCAGCACTTCTTTGTTCTTTTGGATACTTTCTTTTATCCTTTCTGGGTCTTTGCTTTTCATTTATGATGTGAAGGTAACTCCCTTGTCACAGAATTGTTATTGAAGCCCAAATGAGATCATAAGTGAAATGTCTGGTATGTAGGGTACACTTAATAAATGGAAGTTATCTGATAGGGGAGGTTCTGACTTGTTAATTAATCTATTTAGTTTTATTATAACATACTTCCTTTTTCCCCCTGTTGTTTTTCTTCCCATTATTTTTCTTTTATCTGAGAAGTTTCTTTAGGGTTTTTCAGTACTTCTTCCTTTGCTATTTTAACTCCCACTGTTTTCTGGAGGGGCTATGCAAGTTTTCTCTCCTCAGACAAAAAACCAATGCAATAGTTCACCATACACAGTTATCTTTGTCTTACAGGTCCAAAACTGTTTGGATGGAAACCAAAACTGTAATTTTTCAATGCATTCATAAAGTCAGTGTCAGATTGATTAAGTGGATATTTGAGTTCTCTTATTTTAAAATGTGTACTAGCATATACCTTTGTAGAAAGAATAAATCATCCCATGTAGTTACCTTGCAAGTACTCATTTATAATAAATAAATATTTATAAAGTAACCATCAGAACTCTCTTATCTTTATGCCATTGAAGACCGTAGGAGATATAAAAAAGTAAGTAGCATTCTAGATGAGATCTACTAAGTAGTTTGTTTTTGCTGATTAAAACTGTGGGTTCTAGTCATATGTCTGGAAGGAACTTTGGGGTCAATCTGGCTCAATCTACTTATTTTATATATTTAATGAAGTTAAAGTTCAGAGAGTTGAAGTAACTTGCCTAAAGCCATACAGCTAGTTGGTAACTGAACAAGACTTTGCTCCTTTTTGTGGTCAAACTGAGACAGCATCAAGTTTGGGCGTTGCCTTAAAAGGCTTCTGAATTGTTCTCCCTTGACCATGTGACTTCTGGAATCTAGCTCCTATCCAGGCACCCCTTCCCATGCTTACCTAGGAGCCTATTAACTGGTGGTTCAAGGCAATGTCTGTCTCTGATCAGGTCATCAGTAGCCAAAAATAAAAGTATTCATGTTGTCTCTCTTGGCCTGTCTTTCTTGCAGACTCGCCAGCCCGTCTTTGTGCAACTGCTGCAAGGTGTGTTCCGGGTTTACCACTGCAACTGGTTAATGCCGAGCCAAAAAGCCTCTGTGGAGAGCTGTATTCGGGTGCTCTCTGATGTAGGTAAGATGTTGAGACAGTTTGGATAGAACGTAGTGAAAGTTAATCTCCTAACAGTAGTAAAGGCTACCATTTATTGAGCACTGGTTACAACTCTTCTAAGATTAAACAGACAGGAAGTTTCAGAGCCAGATCTGCTATAAAGATCTTTTTGATTCCTCAACCTCTTTTTGATCTACCAAGCCAGCATCCCCCAAAGAAAGAGCCAGTGAGTCCAAAGTAAGATAGGCCTAGAAAAACAAGATTCCACAGTTAAATGTTAGGCAACTCTTGGCACTTCACAGTACACAAGCTTATTTAGACCTGGGAAGTCCCTCATTCAAGAAATTAATTTGTTTAATTCAGCAGATGCATTTGACCCCATGGAAACTTTTTTTTCCCCCACAAAGCACCTATCCAATCTCCAGGAAGACCCTTTCTCGGAAGTGGTACGCTGCTCCCTCTGGCTCTGACGATAAGTGGTTCTCCATTCCCTCTTTAACTTCCCTCATGTCTTGCCTCTTATAAGTAGCTTTGAAAGGAAGGTATGAAAATTATTTCTCCCGGGCCAGGCATGGTGGCTCATGCCTGTAATCCCAGCACTTTGGGAGGCTCGAGGCAAGAGGAATGCTTGAACCCAGGAGTTCAAGACCAGCCTGGACAATATAGGGAACAGCCTGGACAATATCAAGCATGGTGGCATGCACCTGTAGTTTCAGCTATTCATGAGGCTGAGAAGGGAGGATCTCTTGATCCCAGGAGTTGGAGGCTGTGGTGACCCATGATCATGCCATTGCACTCCAGCCTGGGTGACAGAGTGAGACCCTGACAAAAAGCAAAAAAAAAATTACTTCTCCCTTTACCCTGACTTTATCAGACTCTGTTACTTTACCTCTTCTCCATCCCCTATAAATGCTATGTGAAGGACTAAGCTTCCTGCTTAAAGCTGAGAAAAACATTACCTGCCTGGAGTAGGTGGATCCCTGCAGACCAGAAGATCAAGATAGGTGTGGTTCTTAGCACTACTGAGTTGCTGTCCAGCAAGTATTAGTTGTATTTATTAGTACCTGTTGCCTGATTTCAGTAGTCTCTTGCCTGATTTCCTTCTCTCTCCTGTGGTAGATGTCAGTGTCTTTTTATTATTTATGTGACTGTACTTCACATAAGAGATTAGACTTTTGAGAGTGTATACACCACAGGTTCATGATGTGATATCACAGAAACAGGACCTTGTGATGGACTCTTCAGATAATCCTATGCTTTCTCTGTACATGATTATCCATCATAAAAGACATGCTTGTTGAGGCCAATGGACATGTAGGAGTGAGTCCTTGCCACACAAGTTAGTTGTTGGTTAAAACTTGAGCAAGTTGCTGACTTGACTAGCAGTTCAACACTCATTGCTAGGTAAAAATCTTTCCATTGTCTTAGTGGTGATAAGAAAAAAGACAAGGAGAATTGATGTGTTTGGAATGGTAAGGCATGAAACCAATACAACCCTCTAACTCTTAGGTTTACCTCCATACCTCTTGGGATTACCTTCTCCTGATGAAAACCACACCCAGAGATCACTGGGATAGTTGTTTAGCTTATAGGATAGCCAAGGCACAGAGTTTCTAGCTGAGATGAGTGTATCCTGTTTTTTAATTTTTATATTATTTGTATTATTCCAGATCTCTCACTTTCTATGTTAAACTAATAGAAAGTTGTTGGTTAGCTCATAATTCCTTTCCCTAAATTGTGTCTATTTACTTGGGATTTAAGCAGTTGCTCCTCAGATTCCTCTTTCTTTTTATTTTTTTTAATTGGAGTCTCACTCTGTCAGCCATACTGGAGTGCAGTGACCGCTCCCGGCCACCGCAGCCTCGACCTGCTGGGCTCCGGCGATCCTTCCGCCTCAGCCTTCCAAGTGGCTAGAACTATAGGTGTGCGCTACCACGCCTGGCTAATTTTTGATTTGTTGTAGAGATGAGGTTTCGTCAAGTTGCCCAGGCAGGTCTCGAACCCATGGGCTCAGGCAATCCACTCACCTCAGCCTCCCAAAGTGCTGGGAGTACAGGCTGAGCCACGGAGTCCGGCCAGATTCCTCTTTCAATGTGTTGAAGTTGTTTTTACATTTAGATACGGGTACTGGTACACCTTCTTTGAGTCTAGTGTTTTGAGATATTGAAGACAAGATATAGTGTTCTTTGGAGATTTTCCCATATGGAAAAAAGGATTATTAGTCTTAGTTATCTTCTTTTTTAAAATAAACCATTCATTTAGGAACTATTTTAGATTTATGAGAAAGTTGCAAGGATAATACATACATAATTCACATAGATCCCTCACCCAGTTTCTCCCATTGTCAGTATCTTACATCATCAGAGCACTGAAACTGATATTGGCACATTGCTGTTACCTCAGTTCCAGACTTGGATCTCATCAGTTTTGCCCCGGTGTCCTTTTTATGTTCCAGAATTCAATCCAGGCTACCTCACTGCATGTAGTTGTCATGTCTCCTCAGTCTCCTCTGGTCTGTGATGATTTCTCAGTCTTTTCTTGCTTCTTATGACCTTGATAGTCTTGACAAACACTGGGCAGGTGTCCTGTAGAATGTCCCCCGTTGTGAGCTTGACTAATGTTTTTCTCCTAATTAGACTAGAGTTATCCTTTTTTAAGTGGAAGAAAGAAGCACTAGTATAGAAATAATAGCTTAGGTAATTGTAAATACTGTCTTTTGTATTATATTTAGCTTAAGCCAGCATTTTGTAGATTGTTGTACAGAACAACAAACGTGAACGAGTTTTTAGAAAAACAGTTTATTGCCAATGAAATGAGTTTCCTGTCTTGATAATTCTTAAAAGATATGAACACGAACACATCAGTGACCCTAAAAAGTCATTTTGTTGGGGAAACCCATTCAACTTTAACTCTGACTTGCCCAAACTTTATGACCTTAGAGCATTTTAACATTCCTCAGAACTGCTGTCCACCAGAATTCACACTGAGAAACCCTAACCTAAAAGATGGTAAAGTTGAGTTGAGCTCACATTCGGTACCATGTACATTCTGGGCCTGGGAAAAATATGCTTGTTGGGAATGGGGCATTAAGTCATCTCTAGGGCATCTCCCCACCAACAGTTGCAGGCTCACAAGTCATCTTTCTCCTGTGTAGCCAAGAGCCGGGCCATTGCCATTCCTGTGGACCTGGACAGTCAAGTCAACAACCTCTTTCTGAAGTCCCACAACATTGTGCAGAAAACAGCTATGAACTGGAGGCTATCAGCCCGCAATGCTGCGCGCAGAGATTCTGTTCTGGCAGCTTCCAGAGACTACCGGAATATCATTGAGAGATTGCAGGTAATGCCTGGTGCTGAGAGTAGTGCTGCTTAGCCAACCCTGGGTGGTTGTCACATACAGCAGTGCTTCCTCGAGCCAGACAGCATCCACACTGGGTGGTAGGGAGATGTCAGTATGGTGGATGAATAGTCAAATGTTACAAAGAATGTAGGATCAGGAGTGAGAAGCTTTAGGAAAAGTTCCTGACAAAGTCGTGGTATTTAAAGGTTATTTATAGATTTACAGTTTTTGTATGTGTGAAGAATGGGGATTCCATTCTTATTGTGAAGGAATATTTAAGTATTACAAGAGGATGTTTAGACGAAGGGTATAAAGGTTCCATTTTTTCCATCACTCTGGGATTATTTAGCCCCTTGAATATTCAGCAGGTAAACAAATGTAGTGATATCTGAGAGAAGAGACTGTCAGAATAAGCCAGATGAAAACAAAAGTATTATTCATTCCAAGCTAGATTATATTGTTTTTTTCTTAGCAACTACCAGAAGATCTGTTATCCCTTTGTTAAAGGGAAGTGCAGCAAGTATTAGATGAATGTTACATGCTTAAACATACATTTTTACGTTAGCTCTTTTTGTTTGTAAACAAAAACATGAAGTGATTCTCTCAAAGGTAGTATATGGACCACAGTTTGAGAAGCACAGATCCTTTGGATGACCGCAATGCATGGTCCCAGACCAGTGCCTGATGCTTAGAAATGGTATAACCTTGGGGAGATTTCTTGATTTATCTGTGCCTCAGCTTCCTAATTTGTAGAATAGGAAAATATCTTATGTGGTTGATGTGAGGATTCAGAGAATTGATAACGTTCCAGTTATCTTTGTTTTGTGAAACGAATCACAACAATTACTCTCTGTTGCTGTTCGGGAGGTTGGCTGGGCTCAGCGAGGTTTTTCTTGCTCAAGGTCTTTCATGAGGTTGCAGTCAGATAGTGACTATGGGTGGGCTCATCTTGACACCTTGTTCCTGTGCATGTTTGGCAGCTGATGCTGGTTGCTAGGTGGGACCTCAGCTGGAGTTGTTGACTGAAACACCTACATATAGCCTTCCCATGTGGCCTGGGCTTCCTCATAACATGGAAGCTGGGTCCCAAGATGAGTATTTCTAGAGAGAGATAAGTGAAAGCTTTATTGTCTTTGACCTAGCTTCGGAAGTCACATAACATCTCTTCTACCATACTTTGTTGGTCAAAGCAGTCTCAAAGATTCCCTCAAGTTCAAAAGGAGCGAATCTAGTTCACCATTTGATGGTAGGGTTGTCAGTGTCACACTGTGGGAAGAACATGCAAGATAGGGTATATTGTGGTGGTCATCTCTGGAAAATACAGTACATGTAGAAAACTTCCTAGCTTGTAATGAGCACTAAGTTGAGAGCTACAATTATAGTTATTACTACTAGTATTGCTGTTGTTACTACTATGGCTATATTAATAATTACTGTCGTTAGGTGAAGTAGCTGAGTCTCTGTAAGGTTGCATAACTTTCTGAAAACAAATGAGTTCACTGATTCGCCCATCAGCCCACTACCAGGCACTAGGGATACAGTGGTGAGCAAAACCAGAGATGATCTTTGTCTCAGAACATCTCAGGTTTTGGAGGGGAGACAGACATTAATTGTGAACATAAAATAGTGAGAGTGACAAGTGAAAAGTGCAGAGAAGTGAGTAGTACATGAAAGATTCTAATGAGGTACCTAGTCTTGTCTGGGCCTAGGACTGGGAGTCAGAGGAGGAAGTAACATTTGAACCAAGATTAGAAGGAACAGTAGGACTTAACGAACAAAAGGGAAGGAGACAGCCTGTGTCAAGACCATTATCCAGAAAAGAAGGTGGCATATCCAAAGACCAGAAGAAGCCTGGGGTGGCCAGAGTCCAAGGAGCTGGAGAGGTTGGCAGGGCTTCATGGGTCAGGTTAAGGATTTCAGCCTGTATCATGATAGAACCAGTTCTTGATTCCTAATAGAGAGTTTCCTGACCCCATTATGCTTTTAGAAATGGGAGGAACTGTGAAGACTCATAACTATAAACACAGCATTTTCTTGCCTGCTCAAACTAAATAAATTATCTGTAGTCAAACACACCAGTTTCATCGGGGTGTGGTGGCTCATGCCTGTAATCCCAGCACTTTGGGAGGTGGGGGCAAAAGGATTGTCTTAACTCAGGGGTTTGAAACCAACCATGGCAACTTGCAAGACCTCGTCTCTACAATAAAATAAAATAAAAAATTAGCTGGTCGTGGTGGTGCGTGCCTGTAGTTTTGGTGGCTTGGAAGGCTGAGGCAGAAGGATCCCCTGAACTCAGTAGGTCGAGGCTGTGGTGAGCACAATTGTGCCACTGAACTCCAACCAGGGCAACAGCGTTAGATTCTGACTCAAAGAAAGAAACAGTTTCTTGTGCTTGTCTTAGATTTATTCTGCATATCCTCAGGAAATGAAATAAAATACAAGGGTAGGCAATACTGTTATAAGGACTTGGACTTGTAAGGGATCCTCATCATCCAATTATTCATTGCGAGTCCCTGTAGTTATGCAATTAGCTAGTACAGCGAACGTTGTCATAATGTAAGAAATCCAATCGCAAACTGACTACTTATATAATCCCCATTTATATATCCCCTCACTTAACACAAACACTTTTCCCTACCCATCACTTCATGGTCTTTGTTGGTGTCTCTGATTGCTGAATGCAAATCAATTGCAATGTAAAGTTCAAACTGTGCAAAAGATGCAGGATTTCATGAAATACATGAATGTGTTGCTGAAGAGCTATTTCAATCCCACGTAAATGCTGTAGACAAAGATTTGCCAGAGTTAGGACCAGTAACAAGAAGAAAACTTTGACTAGGTGCTTCCAAAGGGGAAGCTGATAAACCCTCAGAGAATTTTTAAAAAATGACTCTGTTGTTGACTGTGCTGTGAGAGTCAATATGAATTAAAGGGGGAAAAAGATATGAATTAAGGGGAATTGCAATGTACTATCTTACATTCTTTTGGAAAAAATGCCTCCCCATCCAAAGAAATCATCTGAGTCGTTCATACATTCTCTGTGCATCCTAGACATTATTAAGTGATTGCAGTTATCACTCAAATTTTGTTAAATGTAAGATTAAATGATCTTCACATGGTTTAGTTTTTATTTCTGGGTAGAAGATCAGTCAGCTCTTTCTTGACCCCAATTGGGTCCGCAATATTGAGGTGAATGTAGTTTAAGTGGCATTTCCTATGCAAATCCTTGGTGAACCAGGCTTTTTTGTATTATCCAGTGTGCTGTGTTTGGCCCCTGACTTAGCCAGTGTGCCTCCAGTGAGGTACTGAGTTATAAAACCATAGAGCAGGCTTTAGCATCTTTTGAAGACAATTTCTCATCTGTTTTCTATCATTTGCCTTTAAATGGTGTTTGTTGTGTTGGTTTTGCTGCTCTTTCAACTTCTCTCTGTTTTCCTTTCCTACAGCTATGTGTTTTGCGTTTGAAGACCATCATGCTATCAGGGTACATGTATTTAGCATGTTGATACAGCATGTTCATTTGTGTTCTCATGTTTGTATGACTTTATTACATGAATAGTTCGTGTTCAGTGAAAAGAATTAGACAACATTGACAAGTATTACTATATAAAAGTAAAATCACCTGCAATTCCACCACTCAGAGAAAACCAGTAGTGATGTTTTAATGGTATTTTATGTTTATCCTGTAGATATTGATGTTGTTTATAAAAATAGGATCATAGAGTCCATTCTATTGTTTGACCATTTTTACACTCATATCATAGACATCTTTCCATGTTGTTAAATGTATTTTTTGCATCATATTTTAGAATATATGAAATGATTCCTTGAGTAGCATAAGGTTATCTCAAAAGAAGAGGTGGTGGGAATGTTGACTTGTTTTTATTTTGTCTTCTGCATCAAGGGCTAATACTTCAGGTAACCATTGGGCAGTGTTTAATAATCTGAGATGAATGCTAGACAGTACTAAAGTTACTCTAGCCTAGCTTCTGCGTCATGTTGTAGGGCAGAAATCAATGTTCTCACCCTCCTATAGTTGGCCTCCGCCTGAACTGTTGACCAAGGCTGTGCTTCCATTGCAGGACATCGTTTCTGCGCTGGAGGACCGTCTCAGGCCCCTGGTGCAGGCAGAGTTATCTGTGCTCGTGGATGTTCTCCACAGACCCGAGCTGCTTTTCCCAGAGAACACAGATGCCAGAAGAAAATGTGAAAGTGGCGGTTTCATTTGCAAGTAAGCGGCCTCTCTCTCTGGGGTGGTCAGTTGCCAGAACCTTGATGACCAGACAAAGCTTTTGTTCCTGAAGAAGGAGACGTTGTCCTGGTTTTTAACTTTGATGAATGCAAGGTCATGTGCTAGAGTCCTGTTCTGACCTTCCCACAGTAAGTCTGTCTATTAAATCCTTCTTACTGATGCTATTTTTTGTTTTTGTTTTTGTTTTGGTGAGAATTTCTCATTTTAACTGCATGCCCATTCATTCATTCATTACAGAGTACCCACCATGTGCTGCAGTACAGACAAAAAAAAGTCATGACTCTTCAGCCCTTGGGAACCACAGCCTCACAGTCTTTTCTAACAGTTTTGTAGTTTCTTGGTTTTTGCCTTGGGGCATAATCTAAAAGAAACAAGTGATTTCATGACCAGGAATCTTCATTAGATTTTTGCCCTAGGGTTAGTTGTTTGTTTTTCCTGGAGCTGTGCTCTGCCTGTGAGTTTACTTTTCTGGGCCCCTCTAAGGACAAGTGTGTGGATAAGGGAATGTGTGAGTTGGTCCTAACTATCATCCTCGTGAGACTTTTTTTTCACACTATTGGCATCTTTTAGCCATTTTACCGGCAGTCCTCAGTGGATAAATAGCCACACTCTTTAAACGAGCAGGTCTGAGTGGACCTCTGTCTCGGTTCTCCTCTTCATATAATCTGTCCATTGTATGTGACCAACTCCTGTCCAGTGAGCCTGTGTACTGTGAGTGACCAGCAGGTGTTGCTGTTGAGACACAGTCGCTAACTGGCTGTTCTTAGTGCGGGGAATGCCCTGAAATAGGTTTAATCTGGGAGCCCTTAATAAATATTTGTTCATTAACTGACTAGTTACAATGAATTGCTTGCGAAGTGTTTTTAATTTAAAGATGGTTTCAGGGATGTAATTGGTGGTTTTCCCTGCCTGCCTTCAGGTTAATAAAGCATACCAAACAGCTGCTAGAGGAGAATGAGGAGAAGCTGTGCATTAAGGTCCTCCAGACCCTCAGGGAAATGATGACCAAAGATAGAGGCTATGGAGAAAAGGTACTGCCTTTTTTGTTTTGTTAAGACCGTGTTTTACTATTAAATTGAAGTGAGGGATGTTGAAAAGTCTACCTTAGTTCAGGCATTACTGACTGAGGGGTTAACTTAAAAAAAAAAAAAAGCTGTTTATCTTGCTCCAAAAGGTAGCTAAATCACATGACTGTCTCTTTAAAAGTCAAATATACTTAGTTGTGCCTTATAGGCTGCTTGCCACAAAATCTAATGTCAGAGAAGTTAGCAATAACAAGATTTTTCATCGTTTAAAATTCCCAGTGAGAAGTAAATTTCTCTTGTGTATCAACGTATGAATTCCAGAATTTTGGGTTCCAACTCAGCATACCTGTGGGTTTACTTGCGTCTTTCAGATGAGATGGTGCACAGTCCTTCCAGTACATCAAAGAACTCCCTCCAGTTCTAACTGGACTTAAGGCGTGACAAGCATGACACCATTTTGGATTGAGGTTGGGAAATGGACAGTCCCCATGACCAGCTACTTCTTAGTATATGCAGTGGGCAAGGATATGCCAAGTCCTTTCCTCACACCTCTGAGGTTGGGCACAATGGGACAAAAACAATCTCATTGTCTTTCTTTTCAGCCCCCAGCAAAAAATCATAGGTGTGACTTTGAAGCTCACCCATTTTCATTTATTCATTATTCAAGAAAATAATGTTCACTAGTTTTCTATGAGCCATTTTTAGCAACAATTTCTGAGGAGGAAAATACAGATATCTCTGACTTACGAAAATACCCAGGGTACCTGATCTCCAGAAAGGCAAAGTCGGGACCAAAGGGAGGCCCAAACTTTACCTGTACAATGACCACTTGTATACCTAATCCTAAATTGTACCCTACATCTTTAAAATAAAGTAAAAAATTAAAACAAAAAACAAAAAACCCAAAAAACAAAATACCCAGTAACTCACTTTTTTGACTCTGGAAAGAAGCCTTGATAATTAAATCATCGATTCATTGTCAAAATGGGTGGTGACAATGAAAAGTGTAAAAGTCTACAGGGGTGTTGCTTTCTAACCTATTAGAGCAACATAACAAGTGAGAATCCTTGGATCAGAAAACAGAAAAGGAGACAATCCTTATTGCAATATACATTCCTCACTGTTCCCAATTCACAAAGATTTTAAATGTTACTCTACATTTTTAAAATATATAAATTAAAAGGTGAACAAATGTTGACTAATTAGAAAGTAGGTTTCTGTAACTTAATAGGAATTTTGTGGAGGAAATCTGCCAGATAAGAGTTTATAGATATAGGTAATAGAGATAAAGAAGCCTGGTAAGGTGAGAAGTGGTTGGATGGCCTGTTCATGCAGATATCTGCATAGGCTCCTAGTCAGGTCCTGCTCTTAAAAAAAAAAAAAAGTAGAAAAAGGCAAAGGCAGATGACAGCGAATATACTTATCAGACAAATGAATAATAACCATTTATTTTACAATAAATTTTCTTAAAGTGAGCTTTCAGAAATGTTTATAAAATGTGATTCTAGTTACAGAAGTTTAGTCTCCCTAATAAGATGAAATCTACCAAAGGGGCCTCAGCCAGCTGAATGAATATACTTGCATCTGTGGACATGGAGCCTTATTTTTCAAATATGGAGCCCACCATTTTCTCTGATTCAGAGTATCTGTTCCTTTCCATAACTGTTTAAAGTAAACTTTGGTGTCTCTCCTCTAGCAAATGTTAGAAGTTGTGATTATACATGCAGTTCCCTTTTTATAATATGAAAGGTAGATGTCCTATCCTGGAGTTTCCTCAGTCTCTGTTGCATGGCAGACAGGTCTGTCAGGGTCTTTGGGGCCATGTGGAATGTGTGCTGCTCCATTCCCTGTCCCTACCCACTAATGCCAACTGAGAGAACTTCCCAGACCCTGGTAGATGCCACATCGGAAATGTCATATTGTTGCCTGTTATGAAGCTCATGGAGAATGACAGGGCCAGGGGTAAAGAGGACCCTTGAAGAAAGAGTCAACTCTCAGGGTTTTGTGGAGATTCTTGGGCCCTTGCTCAAATCCTTTTTCAGCTGGTGGAGATATTAGTCACACCTAAGCAGAGAGGCTTGGAGGAAAGATGACATTTCTTACCAGTCTGATTTGGGCTGTCATCCCCATTCATGAAAGTGAAAATATAATAGACCAGTATGGGAATTGCTACGAAACCGAGGAAGATGTTCTAGAAACCCATGTTAGTCAGCAGCTCCAAAACCTACAGCACACGCTTGCAGCGCTTCCGGCCCAGTGCTTTGACTGTTGAAAACACTACTTAACCATTCACATTGATTGAACTTCAAAAGAGAGAGGTACGCTAAAGTCGTTCTGTTTCTCCTGACCTGATAGCTGGTATTAACTTTGTCTCTTTCACTAAGGCTTTTTGAAGATGCTTTTGATGATTTCCTGGCTGTCCCCGTTTTGACTAAAGAAGCATGACACAGAGGGTAGGCCAACTTTTTCAAGGGTAGGAGTGACATAGAGCCAACGAAGTAACCTTTCTGAAGCAAACCAGTTGGCTTTAGTCGATAAAATAAATGAGGTGTTATTTGGCCCCAGGGGTGCTGAGGACACCAGGGTGAGTGTTGAGGCCATTTCCCTCCTCCCATCCCAATTTTCCGATTAGTTGCCTCTTACGTGGAACTTGTCTCATGACTAACACCTCCTGGGGATATCCAGGAGTGTTCTACTTCCCTGCCCTCTCCTGAGATTTCACAGCCAAAGAATTGGATCTGGAAGGGCCCCAGCATCACCCCATCCAACCCTCCTCTGCACATGAGAGGGCTGGGACTCAGAACTGAAATGACTGCCCAAGGTCACATGGAAAGTCTGTATCAGGATCACAGTTAAGAGTCTAGGTTTCCTGAATCCCATTGCAGTGTCCTTCCCTGCCTCCCCTCACATAGTGTCCACCATGCATGGGCCAGGTAGTCTTTTTTTCTAAGCTGTAATCCTTAAAGGTGATGAGATATAATTATCTTCACTTATCTCTACTTTTTTCATTCAAAAACATCAGTGTGCTTGTATGGGTCTATTTGCCTGGAAAAAAAAAAAGGCCATTCAGAGCTGTCATCCATATTACCAAGTAGACTAAAACATAACAGAATTTCTGTAAGGTTGATATGCACTTTTTAAGTTTTGTATATACCCACTAGTTTCCTAGAGTATAAGTGACAATGATACTATGCATCAACCTCCTGTTATATGCCAGCCACTGCACGTCTTACCTTAAATCAACCTCAGAGATAGATGTCACTATTGCTATTAACTATTTTATACAAAAGGGAGAAATTTTCAGAATTTCTTCAGAATTTGCCTGAGTTCACATGGCTAACAAGGGAGCTAAGTTCAAATCTAGACAGACAGTCCAATTCCAGAGTCCTGACTCTACCACTGTGCTATCAGTGAACAGACTGACACCATTTGAGTGTTTTGCAGTCCACTTACAGCTTGAACACTTAAGTTTTCATTGTATTACATGATTATGTAAACGAGGCAGTGACTCGACATGCAGCAGAACTTGAACATCTAGGCTTCAGCAATTCTGATTTTTCACACAATTGAAAACAGACTCCAATTGTTAAGTGACTTTACGAATTACGATTGTTTCAGTGTCATCCAAAACCTGTAGTTCTGATCAGCTTCCATACGAAGAAGTCAAATTAGTGAGTAGTGAGTGGTTGGTCTACTTGTCTTGGTGCACTGCCCCAAGAAGTGCCCATCCAAGAACTATCACATATGATGAAAGGTAGGGGCTGGCTGAAGAAAGTTTTTGCAAGATTTTAATCATGATCCTTTAAGAATTTTTAAAAAATAATATTTCACTACTATGGCTCTAAAATATTAAGAGACCACCAAAAGCATATTCTTCTTAGAGAGTGGTAAACATAAAATAAAGAAATATTAACAATTATTACCAAAATAATGATGAAATATATTTTTGCATGATGCTTGTGGTATTTTTCTGTCATGTGTATTCAAAGTTAACAAATTTTAAAATCATATCAAAACTTTACAAATACTCTGTGCAATGCCTGCTAAACACAGCGTTTTAATCTATAGATGAAACCATGTCTATGTGGAAAAGTAAATAACCTCCCATAGCTAAACATCTCAAAATTTCATTTGAATCTTTCTAAAACTCAGAAAATCCTCAAGACCCTAGACCCTGCTTGAAAAGGGAGCATAGTTATTTTATGTGTTGGCTACTCTGTAGTTTACTGTAGGTTTTTTATTAAGCTGCTGTTGACTTAAGTTATTAGTCAGAGAGCTTTGGAAAGAAATTCAGAGGCCAGGAATTAAAGTAAAAGGATATCTCAGAATTTATTTCAAATCTGTTTCCCTTCTGAACAGTAGTAGCTGTTTTAGTACTAGAGAGCATATGACCTCAGGTAATGCCTGGGTTTTCATTTCATACAAATCTTCATTCTCCTATTAATTACCAAAGTTTCTTTGCTCTAGGTGAATAAAGTATTAACATTTCCAGCTACTGGTGTTTCTGACATCAACTTAAATTTGAAAAATGTACTAAATATTAACAAAGTTTAGTAAAAACCAACTTAGGATCATCTATCCCAAGCAAGCATAATTGTGATCATTCTTTTGTGTATTTTCTTTTTCCTGGGACTTGATGTTAATAAATAAACCCTATGTCACTGATATCACTTGAGTGGGCACTAATCATCCTGGGGGGAGATATTGCTTCCTTTAATCATCAACAGTAATGGGACCTGCAGGAGCATCAGCAGGACAAATCTTGGGATATGTTGGTCTTATTACCTGCTGAAGTTAAAGTTGGTAAAGTCTGGGCTCCTAACACCCATTGATTTGTAAAAGGAGTCTAAGGAAAGAATTTTCTCCTAACCTGATTTAGTCTTATTCTAGTAATTTTCTCTACTCTTTCATCTTCTGAGAACATGTTTTTTGGGGGAATTTGCCCTTGCCCCTGACTCATTTCAAGTTTTCATGTCTACAAGTGAGTGCAAGGCTTTCTGCATGCATGGTCAAGTGACCTGTGAGGTTCATTGCCTGACGTGAATGAAGTATAGCAGCATCCTGCCCATTTATTCCTGAGCAAGATGTCACTGTGAGCTCTGGCAGTGTCCAAAATCCCTGAACCTCTTCAAACAGTCACCATCTAGCAGTGCTTTAAGGTGAAAGAGTCAGCTTTAAGAATAATTTACAAAGTCTGTAACAATTGGCTGGATTGTATTTCCTTTCCTAACATTTCCTTCTTTTTTCTCTCCCTTTTTTCTTTTCTAGCTAATTTCCATTGATGAATTGGATAATGCTGAGGTCCTAATTTCATTGTTTTTGTTTTGTTTTGTTTTGTTTTCTGTTTTCCATGTCCCATGGTGGTGTTCTCATGCACCCTTCCAGTTAGCCCTGTGATCCTTCTTCTAGTCTCGCAGTGTTGTGTATCTGACTTTGTGTAGCGTGCCTTCTGGGAGTGAGTGGAGTCTGTTATGTTCGTGTTGGCGTTTCCCGTGAGTTTGTTTGCCATTTGTCCTTGGAGATTCCATCTGAGTCTAGAAAAAGATTTTCTAAACCACTATAAGATGTCAGTCGTTCACTGTCTAGAATCTCAACTGAATCTGTGATTGATGCTGGCCATTAGCATATCTCTGAAACTCAGTTTTGATACTAGCATAAAGAGCTGTAAGTACAGCATCTGATGCAAAAAGATGTAATTGCATGGGTATAGTTGAAAGTATTTTTGAAAAACAAAAAACCTCCACTACTCGCTTATTCTGTGTATTTAAAAGTATTGAATGTGAGGGTTCATATAAATTTTTTCAAAGTGCAGGCTGAATTCCAAAGTGCTAGTTGAGACTTTCCATCTGTGGGCTCACCGGTTAGGAATGTACTGTATCCATGACTTCTCATCTAGGAAAACTACTTATAGATTCAGAAATTGAAATGTCATCCAGTGGCTTCTGTACTTCCATATCAAATCAGTTTCACTTACCCAGAATTGCCCTGACAAGTGGTTCTTTTTGTTTGGGACTTGGGGCCTCTTAAATATTTTCTACCACAATTTTTTTTCAATATTTCTTGGCATATTTTTGGACTGTGATAATTTTTAGACTGTGATATGTGCTAGATAAATGGTACCAGAAAAAATTAATTTGGGGAATTACTGTGTATCATTGAGAGGGCTTAATTGGTTGGCAAATGAAACATACTGGACTACAATTTTATTTGACTTTTTAAAATTACTTTTCTGATCTACTTTAGACATCTGTATCTTCTTTTGATAGACCAATTGATACCTTACTTTAGATCGACAGAGCTACCAAATAGTATATGTCTTCTACTCTAATAACTACTCTAATTAATATATCATAATTTCAGAAATACTAAGAAATGGTTCCAGTATACCAAGCAAGAATTTGAACCACAGACTTAAAACTGAAGGCAACAAAGTGGTCGTGAAATTGGTGCATATGCCTCAGGAATGATCTCAGAGAGGTTAAATGATTAGTCCTAGTTCACACAGCTAGAGAGTGACTAGCTATGGGACTATCACATGCTGACTTGCCTGGCCTAGTGTGCTTACTCTTCTACCACAGTAAACTCCAGAAGCACAGAATTTTCCTTATATTAATTAGGCATGGACAAGTGAGGAGACCATGCCTTCTAGGATGATGAAAAGGTGAAAAAAACCAAAGGGAGTGTGGCAACTTAATTAATCATTCTGTGCCATTTCCTGTTTAGCTTTTCCTATTCCGGGTTATTCGTATCCTATGCTGAATGTGCTTGTTGGCACCTTTTGATACTCTTGTTTCTACCTAGAGTTGTAAATGTCTCACTGATTTAAATTTTTCCTCTGAAATATTGAGGTTGAGCTTTCATTTGCTTAAGTACAAATTAAGTCAGGAAAGGAAAAGCTTCCCTAATCGGAGTCTGTGGTGTTATTAATATACTGTTTTGCACCATAGTAATCAGTTGATGTGCTTGCTTGCTCAAGATAGAACTTGGGTCTCCTGGCTGGGAGTTTATTGCTCGCTTATGGAAAGATTCCACAGTTGGAGCAGGTGTGTTTATAATTATATACTCTAGGAAATAGAATACTGTCTGTTTATAAAAGAAGAATGTTCTGGCAGCCACTTGGATTCTTTGAAAAATCCCTGAAGAAGCAACTGTGGATCTCCTCTGCGTTGTTCCCCCTGGCAACTGTCAGTGCCAGGACACCAGCACCCATCCCTGGTCCCTCAGGCTGGCGGAGCTGGCCTTCTCAGCTGAGATACCTGATTGGCCTTTATCATTGATGCTGTTCTGGAAACTACTGCAACTCCTGTGGTTTCTCCCCCACCAAGCCTTTTGTGGGTGTGTGCTCCTGGAAACCTGCAGTCCACAGCTGGAGCTCTGCAGAAGCTTAATGAGAGCTTGTGCTGACCCAGGATTAGGGCAAGGCCTTACACCCAAACTGCATGCTGATGTTACAAATTCTGAACGTGGTGGGAAATAGCCCCAAGGTTCTATGATCCCCTGATTGAGGAAGGGCCACTGCCCTTTGATGATAAAGGCCACTTGGGTATCTCAAGAGAGAGATGCAGTGAATGACTTGAAAATAAAAGAACAGTGCCCACTGGATGTCTGTCAGTGCTCGGAGAAAACAGGGTGAAATGAGGACAGTCATAGGTTCCCTGCAAGAAAAATGCATGGTACGGGGGCCTTCCCAGCAGCCTTCTAGCACAAAATTATGTTTGAAACCAGAAAGAGGGGGTTTTTTTTGTTTGGTTTTAGCAGATAAAGAGGCAAATTTAACCTCTGGTTTTCCCTTTTCTGTTGGGCTGAGGTGGGGGTGGGGGCACAGATGGAGTGGGAGAGAGGCGGGGACTCGAGTTAGTTTTCCTTCCTTCCACTTGTAGCTTGGTTGGATTGGATTGTTACGAAAGTCTGCACCTGTGTACCCTCCACCTAAATCAAGATACTGTTTCCAGCACCCCAGAAAGGACCCTCCTCTACCCATTCTTGACTTGAAACACACCAGCTGATGCTTAAAGACATCTATTTATATGACTAATATTTGAGTGCCTATTACGTTTGAAGCACTGTGCTGAGGGATTTGGATAAAATGGTGCCCCAAATGGACATAGTGCCTGCCATTCTGGAGCTTAAGTTTGGTGGGGCAGATGGACAATAATGCACATTCATGTGTAATGACAGCTTATCAAGCATGAGAAACGTTAGCAAGGAGAAGGAATCATGGGAGTAAGGAATCTGGAGACTTCTACCTGAGCAAGGAGGCCAGGTAACAGCTTAGGATGTCAGGTAATGACTGGTGAATATCCCCACAGGTGATCCTGTGAGTCACTTTTCTAAACTGTAAAGTGCCGCGCTGATCAAAGAGATACACATTTTGGGCAGAGGCAGTGAGCAGAACAGTAGTCCAGCTAGTTTTCATGGATGTGTCTTTAGAAGGGAGTTGTGTGTTTATAAATTATGTACTGTAACTCAGTGGACATGCCTGTTTCTACATATTTGTGATGTGATTCCCACTGAATCACTGTCACTTGGGGATATGGAACCTCTGGGGGTTTGCCTTCCTGCATTGCAACAAAAAAGTGAAACTAACTTTCTTAGCTACTCAAGGCACCTGTAGCCTGCTTATATTAACTCCTCAACTTCTCCTACCTTGGGCTGCTTTACAGGCAAAAGATGCCACTGACAGGGAACTTTGTAAAATTCAGGGAGAAAAAAAGAGAAACACAAGAATGATTAAATTTCACCTTCAGGGGGCGTTCTCATGACGCCCAACCCAGGGTGGAGGTGTCCTACTTTTTTACATTGCTGTGAACTGCTGGGTTGGGCACCTGCCAACATTCAGGCGGCAGTTACATAAGAGCTGCTTTTTTTCCTGGAATTTAGGCTCACTGCTGATGTGTGACCTTCAGCAGTAATTGCCAATAAATGCAGCGGGGCTGTTTACTGTTAGGCACTGGCAACCACAGAGCAAGCTCAACTCAGAGCATACAGAAGCAATTGCAGAGTCTGTGGAGGGTTTTTTTTTTTTTTAGTGCTGAGATTATTCCATAATGACCAAAGCTGTATAATTTAGTCATGTTAGAATGCATTTTAAAAATGAACTTCACTGTTGAGTTCTAACGAACTTGTTCTGTAAAATATAGGTGAAATGACATTGTTGGAATTAAGTAGTTTTTAGTTTGTTTCTAAAAACAAATACAGTTAGTAAAGACAATTGTCTTAGAAGATATGAAGATCTAAAATTGTTTCACTCAAATGCTAGGTAGCTTCTGTTTTAGCTCAATTTTCTGTAAAGCTTTCTGTTCTCTTTTAGGGTTTCAAAGGCTGATGAAGGCCAGGGCCCAGCAAGCATATTTGCAAACCCATTTATTGTTTGTTTGTTTGTTTCAGGGGAGCTGGAGATATAAATTCCCTTTGATGTACTGATAACTGTATCTATAATACAGTTACATTTCTTTGAATTGCATTCAGTTTCTGTTGGGTGGTCCATCAAAAGAGATATCCTATTTCAAAGGAAAATTCTAGAAGCCCAGGGCAGTACTGCTGAGGGCAGTAGAAAACAAAGGGTACTTGCAGGCTAGGCACACAGGCACACATGAAACGGATGGATAGGAAGATGGATGTGGGAGGGTGCTGTTGTACAAACACTAGAAATAGTCACCCAAGGAAGTCTGTGGGCTTCTTTTTATTTAAGAATGACAGAGTATAATTTCCTTCATGTATAGTAGAAATTTATCCCTTGGTAAAATGTTAGGTATGTTATGTATGGAAAGCGAGTAGACCGGTGTCTTATATGCACATATCCAGTTATTACACAAGGACCATAGTTAGAATGGCCTGATTCATGGCCTCATCTGGGAAGGACACTTAGGATTCAGTGACTTGAGGTACAGTTTGAATTTCCATTTCAAAGCCAGTCATTGAGAATCTCTTTTCTATTAAATTAGATTTTATTGACCTTGTCTAAAAACACTGGGAGGACATAAGATCAAAGGATAAATATGAAGAGGCAGTAGAGGCGATAGCTGGTTTCCAAGCACAAAACTAAACCACATCAGATTGTTGTTTATCACCTGCTGGTATGGGAGACTCACTTTGATTAGAGGTGTCAGCACCTGAATAGAGTAACATGTCCTGGGACTAAGGAGGGAGAATACGAAACTTGGGCAATTCAGACATATGTACTCTCAAAACAGTCTCCCTTAATATGTGTTCATTCAGAGCTTCATTGTCCTGTAAAAAAGAAAACTTTAATAATAAAGCTGTGACTTCATTCATTTACTAACATGATCTTTTGTTTTAGATATTATACATTGTATTTGTATAGCTATTGTCTTATTTAGACATTCATAGCTTATCAGTATGCTTATATTTATCAAAATTGCAGCTTACTACTGTAAAGAAACCTTTTCCTCAAGGAAGCACAGCTAAAATCCCCATAGGAGGAAGCACTAGTATAGGCTGTTGGTTATTTCACCAAATTATATACCGGATATGGCCTGGCCTTTTCCATGCTTGAAGACATTTTATGCCTTAGCAGGTTGTATTTAGGAAACTTGCCTGTTAGATATTATGAAATTAAGTTTTCTGAAAATATACCAAGCATTACTTAATATTTCAGCTGAATGGAATCCTAAAGAACATCTACTTTGTCTTCCTTGGACAGTTCAGGAGGTGGAAGCCTAGAGAGGTTCAGTGATTGGCTCAAGGTCACACAGAGAGTTAGAGCTAAACCCTGGGTGAGCCGTGATCTCATGATGCCCGTCCAATGCTCTTATCTATTCCATAAAAGGATAGCATTAAAAATTGTCCTCCTGGTAAGGTAGGATTCATGAAGCTACAAAGCATCCTCTTGTCTCAAACGGCTTCATGAAATTTTAAAGGAAGAGAAAAAAGATAGCTCATTAATTTAAATTTAATTTTTGTTTTAAGAATTAAACTAATTTTAGAACAAGTATGACAACCGTTTACAGAGGAAATAGAGTGTGAGTACAATCGTGAAACATAATTCCTGCTGAGTGATTAAGAAATAGATACATATTCCTACAGCCATTATGAAAGAATTCAAAATGCTTCCCTGGACAAAGAAAGCACAGGCAAGATAATTGCACAAACAAGTGATACACCAGTTCCAGTTCCATCTTCTTTATTTTCTTTAGTATTTATGTTCGTTGGCAAAGGAGCAAGAGGGTAGCTCTATGGGTTCCTATGGTGAATCCATGCCTATAGTCTTTTTGTTCTCATGGTATTGCATCAATGTAAAGGATGCATTAGTGGGAGTGTGGCCCATGCAAATGGTAGAATATAGTGCCTCTTTCTATCTATATCTCTGCTGTTTTAAAATGCATTCTGTTTTTTCTTATGTATTCTTTTTGCACTAAGGGCAGTTAGCAAAAATGTTTACACTGTGTTAATGCTTTAGCCTAAAGCATGCAAGGGTAGAGTTGCAAATATATTCTGGGATTGTGATAATACTTATGTCCTCTTGAAAACCCACATACCTGAGCTCTGTTTTTACTTTCCTTGCCACACTCAAGTCTTTTCTGCCACTGTGTGCCTCCCCACACCTTTAGAGGAGGCTAAATGCTTTAGAGGGAAATTTTCTCCTTGGGACTAGTGGAGCTGGACTCCTGCATGAAAGATCTTCCATCCAGAATTGCGTGAACGGCCCTCCACGTATGCCTCTTTGTCTTTGGTGAAGTCGTTTAATCCCTGAGATCTTTATTTGAATTTACCTATTGGGAAATAGAAAAATAGACAGAAATAATTAGTCTACATACTATAGCAGCTTAATATTAAGGGTTTATTTATTTATTTATTTATTTATTTATTTATTTATTTATTTTTTTTCCCATCTTGGAGATCCAACTACTAAAGGGCTAGCAATGAACTGGATTGAGACACTACCAGATTTCCCAGCGTCACTCCTTCCATGCTTTCAACACTGGTTCTGGCCACCACTTGACAGCCACCTTCTGGCCTCAGAATGGGTGTGCTGGAGGCCAAGGTCCCACAGTTGCAGCGTGAAACTTGGCTTCCTCTCATGACCCCAGACTACACCTTGCACCAGTCAGCCATGCTGCTGGTGCATGACTTTGGTCCTGGCAGTTACATCTGACATCAGTTCCCTGCTCCAGGCATGTGTCCTTTTGGAGGATAGATTTATAGCACTGTCTTCACATGGAGCAGTGGATTTGCTTCCAGCCATACTTTCTTGTAGCCATCACACACAACTTCACACGTCACTCGCATGTTCTTTGGAGGAATCCTCTTGTCTCTCATTATAAGTTAGAAACTATGAAGCCGAGGGGGCGGGTAGTCAAAGGGAGCGTCTGCATGATATGGCAGGAGTGGGGCCAGGGAACCCAGCCCATGAAGCCCCTGAAGGAAATGCATGGGTGGGACAAAAAAGTAATCTTGAACGCAGGAGACGCTTCTCCCAGAGACACCGGAGAGGTAGGCTTCATACCCTAAGCCACGCCTCTCCTGTAGGACAGGATATGGGAAAAGGAGAGACCCAGAAAAGAGCCTGAACCCACAAAAGATGATTGGCACAGAGGAGTAGCAGTGCAGAGCTTTCACAGACTTTGGGACCCTGCTGTCATCACTGCCTCCTCTTCTTCCTGAGCCTCCGTGGGTATCACTCCATCCCATTCCCTCTCGTGGACCAAGGAGACACAGATGTGCAGTGATTCTTCCTTTTGCACTTTTTGTTTTAAGACATAGTTCCTTCTTGGTTATACTCTCCTGTCTCTCCTTATTTTTCATGTGTTTCCCCCTCTCGGGTCAATTGTCTTCCTGTACAACCACATTCAGTTTAACCTAAAAGTGTCTGGTTACCTCAACTGCTGAAGCCCACTTCAGCAGTAACACAGTAAGATCGTGTCATCTTTGATGTTTCCTCCTGTGTTTTGTCCTTGAGTGTTGGTCTGTGGACTTCTCTCTGTGCACCACGAGGTGCGAGTGCCGTGACTAACGTGCTTCGTTTACTCCCAACTTAGCTGCCACCAGCTCCGGATGCTGAGAACTCCACAGAGGTGTGTTGCTCACCTATATTTGTAGTGCCAGTGCCAGCAAATATGATCGCTTCTCAGTTGTCCTGGTTGAGTGTCTGGATTGTCATGGCGAAGTGTCTGTCTCATTGAAAGGTGTAGGAGGGAGGTCTCTAGGCTGGCTGGGAGCTGCTGTTGAGGAGGTGGCTCTCAGTGGAGAAGGAAAGTCCTGAGGAACTGGAGGTATATCAGGTGTCCTCTGTATGAAAAGAACGTGACCCTTTGAAGGTTTTTACACAAAATTGTCTTAGTCTTGACACATTCAGTTGAGAAATTTAGGCATGTTCAGATCTTTCTTGCTAAACAGAAGTGACTTTGGAGCTAAGCGTGGTGTGGCACCTGTAATCCCAGCACTTTGGGGACTGAGGCAAGAGGATTGCTTAAACCCAGGAGTTCAAGACTGGGAAACATAGCAAAACCTGGTCTCTACAAAAGATAAACAAATTAGCCAGACGTGTTGGCATACACCTGTAGTCCCAGTTATTCAGGAGGCTAAGGCAGAAGGATTACCTGAATTCAGGAGGTCGAGGCTGCGGTGAGCTGTGAATATGTTACTGGACTCCAGCCTGGGAAACAGAGTGAGACGCCAACTCCAAAAAAAAAAAAAAGAATTTGGGTCCTTTGCAGAGATGATGCAGTTCTGAAGTTCCGGTTACTAATTTATAGTTTTAGTGAAAGTTGTAGTTTCACAATGTACTTTTTTTGTATTTTTGCCGCTAACCAAACTCACTAAATGAGAATTTATTAAAGCATGTAAGATCATAGAGAAGCTTCTTTGGAGACATATTTTCAAGAATCAAAATTTAATTTAGAAGCTGGGCATGGTGGCATGTGCCTATAGTCCCAGCTGTCTGGGAGACTGAGCTGAGAGGATTGCCTGAGGCCAGAAGTTTGAGTCCAGCCTGGGAAACGTTGTGAGACCTAGTCTCAAAAAACCAAAAAAGATTGGACAGTGGGTATATAAAAGCAAAAAAGAAATAGAAACAAAAAGTGAGCCAGTTAGAAGTAGATTCTAAAAGTCAAATGTATATGTGTATATATATGTATATATATGAATGTTCAAGTCTCTTTTTTGCCAGACACTAACTGTGTGATTTGGGGGGCAAGTTATTTAACCTCCCTGTGCCTCAGTTTCTCAGTTTCTTTTGCTGTAAAACGAGGACAATGATATTCCCCATCCCTTAGGACTGCTATACTAAGCTGTGTGCATAGTAGCCCAGATAGGAGCCCAGGAGTTCAAGGCTATAGGGTGGTATAATAGCACTTGTGAATAGCTACTGCACTCCAGCCTGGCAACATAGTGAGAACTCATTTCTTTAAGAAACTTTAATTTTGGAAACTGTTCTAAAATCACAGTAGTTAAAGCTAGAATGAAGTATACTTTATTTGAAAGAAGTCTATTGAAACTCTTAAAATGAAACACGAACAAGTGATGGACTAGCTAAGTGGGGATGTTTTCTAATGATCAGTCTCTAATAATCTAATCAGAATTCCTCATTATCAGTAGTTTTGATTGGAATACTTGTGTCCTGATGGGGTGGGGAGAGCCGTGGTCCCATGTCTGTGTCTGCTCAGAAGCATGTGTATTGATGTCCTTATGCATGTGCTGTGCAATGATGCATGTATGAATTGAAAGGACCTACCTGGTTGAGTCTTGTATTCCAATCCTTTGGGGTTCATGTCATGGTACATGACATAGAACTTCCTTTTCCTGATCTTTGCAAGAAGTAATGTTGGCCAGAAAGTCATGTGTGCCCATTTTAAACAGTGCTGTAGGGTCGGGGGGACAGGACAAGTGTTAAGCAGTGTCTAAAGTAACCAGCATGAGAGGTTTGTTGGGGGGGGGGAACAAAAACTCTTGGCTACTTACGAGCTCACAATTTATGTTACTGTGACTGATGCTGAAGATGATAGTGTCTCCTTAGTGTTGTACTTAAAATGAAATTTCTGCATGCTTAGCAGGAGCTTGAACCAAGTCCACCCCTGAGGCAGCTGGAAGACCATAAAAGGGTACGTAGCCTGGAGTCTTGGGTGTTGGGAGCTTGTGACCAGTGACCATAAGTCTCAGTGGACCACAAACTGGGATTGAAAGACAGCTTTTGTGTTGATGATGTTGTTAATGCATTAACTGACTCAAGAGCAATTGTGGCCATGTATATAAATTATACTAACTGGCAATTCTACCTGTTATCTACCTGATCACAGCACTGTACCCAATCAGCCTCCAAATAAGGAGAGTAAGCCTTTCAGGTTCTTTCTTCTTTGTGGCTTTCTACTGAAGTGAAGTCTAAAAAAAAATTTTTCTGTAATGACTGATGAGCATTGTAGATAATTTCTGATAAACAAAAACATATAATGAAAATAGTTCATAATTACACTCCCCAGCTATAAGAGCTGCTAATGTTTTAATATTTTCTTCCACTTACTTTTTTACACATGTGAGCACATATGTCAGCAGATACATGCACACTTGCATTGTCATTGGATTATTCTAAGCATACAACTTTTGTACCCTGCTTTTGTCATTTAATACTATACCTGAGCATTTTTGGGAAGTCTTTAAAAAGTAACAGTTGCCTGAAGTTTGTTAAATTAACAAGTGGTTCATCATTTTTCCCTTTGACAAGGAAATGAGTAAATGTGTGCATCTTTGGACAGACTTCTGGAAGACGAATTCCGAGGCTAGAAAGTAGATACTTTAGGGTGCTGACTGTGCATTGCCATACCCTTTTCTAGAAGGTTGTATACATTCATGAGCAAGGTGAACACTGATTTCCATGTTGCCCATTTTTGGAAGGTAACCAAATGTCCTGGTTTTCTGAGAGCCAATTACTATTCTAAGTTCCCTTATCAATTTTTATTAATGCTTGCATTGAGCCAATGACATAGCCTTCATCCTCATTTCACAATTAGGAAATTGAGAATCAGAGAAAGTAAGCATGCTGCCCAAGGTCATGAGTTAGAAAATGACCTGTCATTGTGCGAACTGTCTTAAAACTGTGGCCCTTGTTGTCCTGGAGAAGTTATGCCTGAGATAAATGGTAGCCCGTGCACCTTAGTTCTCTCATACCCTTTGCCCTGTCTGTTCCCACCACATTCAAATTCTTTTCACTCTCTTGGCGCTGATGGAGAAATAAACTTTGTAATTTCTCAGACTACAACCAGAGAATAGCCCCCAGGAAATTGGCATCTTGTCAGGGTTCAGCCCTCTCCTCCAGCATCCAGCATTTGATAGACCAAGGGCACCATACATTCATGCATTTTTCCATCCTGCCCTGCCCCTTAAGAATTGTCACAGATCTGAGGAGTATCTGGCAAAGACAAACAGCTGTCCCTCATGGCCTAAGCTCTCAGGGGACTCGGTTTTGAATGCCACCTGTGCTTGTAAACTTTGGAGTTGGAAACAGGTTCAAGTCTCTTTTTTGCCAGGCACTAGCTGTGTGATTTGGGGCAAGTTATTTAACCTCCCTGTGTGCCTCAGTTTCTTCTGTTGTAAAATGAGGATGATGATATTCCCCATTCCTTAGAACTGCTATACTAAACTATGTACATAAAGCACTTAGCACAGTGGCTGGAATATGAGAGATACTAACTGTAGTAGTTAATCTCGCAGATTGAAATGCTTAGGTGATTTTGTAGACAACAGAAGTAGGGGAAGGAAGGGGTTTTTAAATCCAGGCGCTACCTTAATGCTGACTAAGGTATGAGAGGCTCAGGGCTCACATTAGAGGGTGATTTTGCCTGAAGCACATGATTTTTAAGTGGCTGGAACCTGGGAAACCAAAAGGTCAGTTCTCTCTCCTTTGTGTGTGGCAATATTAACTCCTTAGTGCCTTGTTTACCACTGGCTCTGTTCCCACGCAGTTCATTAGTCACTAGTTTAACTGTTTTAAATGAAACTCATTTTAGTGGAGTGGCCAGCTAGGAGCTTAGTTTCATTACTACACATCACTGATCTAACAGTTATCATTGTCTTAACATGACACTTATTACAAGTGAAACTCTCTTTGACTTTTTCTTTTCTCAGTCTTAGGTAATAATGTGTGTGGAATTTCTTACTGAGACAAACATCTGACATTTGTTTGCATACTGTAGGTGTAAACTGCTGGAAAAAAAAACTGGTATTATTTTTTAAAAGGGTTGCACAACTAAATGTTAAAGCTGAAGAAGTGACGTTATTTGGGAAGTCATTTTTTTTTTTTCCTCTGCAATCAGATTTCTCAGCCTGGTACATCGTGAACAGCTTAGTGCTGTTGAGTAATTTATATCAAGATGATTAGGAAAGCTTTTCTCTGAAGATTTTAATTTTTCCTAAATTAAACCACTGGCTCAGAAAAACAGAATTTTCCTTGAACCCAAGTTTTCACACTAGGGATTTGCATAACTTTTAATAATTCTTACCCATTTTCTCTTTCTGTCCCATTTTACCTGCAGTTCTCAATCTTTATTCTTTTAAAAAAGGAATGAATCTCATCTGTTGTAAAAAAAAAAAAATCCTACTTGCTCCCTGTTTCTTTTTTTGCAGTTTAATTTTGTGTGTGTGTGGAAAGAAGGTGAGATGAATATGTGCCAAAAACCTTATAATTAAGAGGGAAAAAATAAAAGTTTGCGGGGCGAAATGTGGAATCACATTTCATGATATTCTCTTATGGGGGAAATGTACCATTTGATGCATCAGTTGCTATGGTAACTGCTAGAGTTTCTCTGCTTGAAGGAGAGGCAGCATGGTAATGTGAGATCCCTTTGTAACTTCAGTTTGGCATCCAGACTGCATAAATGTGAAGTTCCTGTTCCTGGCATCCACGTGCTCCTTTCAGTACCTTCTGCTTGCTTGATTGCAAACTGACCAGGGCCTTGCTGTTTAGTCTTAAAACCATGAGGAGGGTGGAGAGGAAAATCAAACAAACAAACAAAAGCCCACCAGGAACCAAAAATCTAAGTGAGTTCCTCCAGCCCCAAGTGGAATTGTGTGCAGGCTTCAGTTGGGACTTCCTTAAGGAATGCATTTTTGTTGACTGGTTACATCCATGCTTCCTTTGACTTGACCATTCAACCCCTGCTCTTCCACATTCTTATTGTGATGGTTACCTTGGCTGTCTTCTGGTTGCAGCTTGCAGATCTCAACCCAGTCTTTTCTACCTCTCCAACAATGTTCTTGTGGTGCAAAAGGGGATCCAGTTAGAGACTTAGGATGGTTATCTACCAACCATTCCTGTTGTTGGAACACAAAGTCTGTGTCTTATTGAAAGTAAATCATATAGGTGAATCATTATATTTAAAAAGGGAAATCAAATTTAATCTATCCCATTCAACATTGAGGTAACCTTTTCTTGCCCTCACTTCTTTTCTTGTAGGCTTTCTTGATTATGCCTTTTAAATTTGTGTTTCTCTTATGAAGTCAGCCTTTTAAATCGCCATTCCCAATGATTGCTTTGGAGAATGCTGTTGTGTCTGTACTGGTGGTGTCTGAGACTGCAACCCCAGTAAAAGTTCTGTTTTTATACTGGATTGGAGTTGGAGTTTTCTAAGAATCTTATATTGAAAGCACCCCACACACACACACCTGTGAGCAGTGTGTGGAATGGAAAGAGGAAAATTGGGATTTTTTTTTAACATTCATTTAAAAATCAGTCCCCTTCTCTTTCCCATTTACTCTATCCCAATCTGTCCATGGAGTCTTTGACTAGCAGCATGAATTAACAGAGGAGATAAACCTGGCAGTGTAGCCCAGGGACTTTAATCTGACTTTGACAATTGATAGGACCCAAGTCTGTTCAACCTTTCTCCTTTCTTCCTTGGTCCCCCACCTCCCCCGGGGATGCCCCTACATCTGCTCCCTCCCATCTTGTTTTGCAGACACCTCACTTGAAGTCTCCAGACCTATTCTCAGAAGTTATTAACAAATCATTTTAAATTCTACTGACTCATGTTAGAGTCTCAGGTCTCTTCAAAAGAACTCTTGAGTCTCTATTTTAGAGACCTGCTAGATTTTAACACCTCTTCTCTCTGCTAGACTTCTCACTTACCTCTCTTGATGATGCACCAGAGAAACTCCATGCCTTACTACTTTGTCCCTGGGAAAGAGTCCAGGGAAAATTCAGCCTTTCGCTTTTAGAACCTTACAGATTCAGTGGTGGCCTGGGGGGTCCCTTAGGACCATGGCAGAAAGCGTGATTGAGCTGAGAATACATCCTGCCTCTGTGTGCTGGCTTGCCAGTATCCCCTGCTATTACTAAACAAATTAGAGTTGTATGGGTTTTTACCCCCTCAGTTAGAGTTATGAGAAAGAGTTATCATATCCTCTGTCCAGGATTCTTTTGATATTTATGTTTTTAAAACTTATTGGCCGGACTCGGTGGCTCAGCCTATAATTCCAGCACTTTGGGAGGCCTAGGTGAGTAGATTTCTTGATCCTGTGGGTTCAAGACCAGCCCGGGCAACTTAGCGAGACCTCGTCTCTACAATAAATCAAAAATTAACCGGGTGTGGTAGCACGTGCCTGTAGTTCTGGCTATTTGAAAGACTGAGGCGTAAGGATCACCAGAGCCCAGCACGTTGATACTGGGATGGCTGTGAGTGTGCCACTGCACTGCAGCCTGGGCAACAGAGTGAGACGCCAGCTCAAAACAAGTTGGAAAAGTTAAAATATACACAAAAGGAGTCAGAAGAGTTTTGGCATCCCCACTCATAACTCAGCTTCAACAGCAACTATAACTCATGCCCACTCTTTTCCCATTGACACCTCTCCCTATATCCCCTCTCCCATACTGTTTTAAAACAAACCCCAGACAAAATATCATCTCACCCATGATGCTTATATTTGATTAACATATTTGATATCTGCCACTGACTTATTTCCTATCAGATTATTTTTATTTTGCTATGTGACCCATTATCTATTTTTGTAAGAAAGTCTTACTTTTGGCTTATTATATCATTATACTCTATTACTCTAATATCTTAATTTTTTTTAGTACCTTGGGAATAAACTCTGTTTGAAATAACATTTTTATATTGCTGTGTGAAGCTGACTTGTAAAAATTCTAATTGGTCTAAACTGTATCAACTTATCCCAAAGGGATTTTTGTTCATTACTGTTAGTTGCCCTTTAGAATTACTATTCTAGCTTATCACTGTGTGAGAGAGGGTACTTAAGAAAGTCAATATTCTAGTTTGCTGCCTTTGTTGTTGTTTTTTTTTTTAACATGATATGGTTTTCTGAGAAAAGATTCAAGTAAACCTCAGAGTTTCTTAATGATTTTATTAATAATTTATTTTCTCACTGAGTGAAACTGGGCCAATTATAACTGAGTACCCCTGTGTGTTTTGAATATTAGTTGCTCAGTTATGCATTAAATTCAGGACCTAATTTTATTATCCTGTTTGAATTAAGGGTGAGGCGCTCAGGCAAATTTTGGTCAACCGTTACTATGGAAACATCAGACCTTCAGGAAGAAGAGAGAGCCTTACCAGCTTTGGCAATGGCCCACTGTCACCAGGAGGACCCAGCAAGCCCGGGGGAGGAGGTAGGCTCTGTGGTATGCTAATTAGCTTCATGTGTGATTCAAGTGTGTCCCATGATAGCTGCAAGTTTCTGCTTAACAGGCTGAAACTCTAACAACAGATGAATTTGTGTTGTAAGTGTATTTTTTAGCAACTTGTTTTGTCTTTGGTCTACCATCACATTGATGTCTAAGCATATTGCCCTGCAAACTAGCAATCCATTCTACTAAAAGGCATAGTTCCTCTCTTCTTGCATTTCCTTGCAATTAGATATCAGTGAAGCCTTTGGCTCTTCTTCCCATACAGTGACCCTCCTAGCAATACTTGAATGATTCAAGGAATTTGATTTTATTGCACATTTTCCTATGGTCATTAGAACTCATGACTTCCCATAAAATGATGAGGATAGTGGCAGCCAAGATAATGAAAGCTACCATTTGTTATGTGTTTACTAAGTGCCAGGGGCTTTCCTAAGCACATTGCCTTCTTTACCTCATTTTCTCCTCATTTTACCTCATTTTATCCCCATTTAACAGAGAAAATGGAAGCTTGTTAGTGGCTGGACTGTAATTTAAACCTGGTATATATAATTCTAATGCGTGTGCTGTGTACATCAACAAACTTCTATGAAAGTTTACAAAAACCCCTGCACAGAAGTGCTTATAAACAGATCCTTAAAGGTGTCTCAAATCATTTTAAGCCCAATTACAGGTAAACAATGCAAAAACGTTGAACTTAAAGGTGGGTCTTACCTAATTTGGGTTTTAGGGGAGCCAGTAGCTCAGCACACAAAGTACAAATGTAAGTTTCCCTCTTCCTTGTCTTAGGGTAATAACTGTGGGTCAGCTTCATATCCTTGGTGGGTTTACGTACATAGCACAGAAACTCTCAGTGTTGAATAAATTTGCCCTAGCAAATTCTAGGGAGGGAGCTTATATTAATCATCAGATGAAAACTTGAAGCATATCTACCCAGCTTATGCAGGCATCAATGAAGATACAATTCTCAGGGCATCCCAGAGATGGGAACTTGGCTTTTCAAATTCAAAAATTCATGCAGAAGTTCCCCGCACAATCTCTCTAAACTATGTCTTTTTACTTTCTATAGTGGGGGCATTTAACAAATATGTGAGGCCTTTCGGAGGCATTGAGAGGGGGATTTGGGAATATAAGAAGATTCTGCCTAAGAAGCTGTAGCTGCTTAAGAAGATGTGCAACCCAATTTCTACCTTATACTACAGATATAAGGACAAGTCAAGGACAAGCGGCATGTAGGGGGTGGCATTTGAATTGATCTCTGCAGGGAAGGACTGATAGATGATCTTCTGGTTTCTGAAGTTCATCAACCCAGTTCTCCATGTGCATTAATGCTTCAGTTATTGCCAGTAGTAATGTAAGGCAAATTCTTAAATATATACTTTCCAAATACAGTCAGAATCCACTCTACTAAAAGGCATAGGTCCTCTCTTCTTATGTATATTTATCTCATCTGAAGTGCAGTGAGGATGGGAACTTCATTTTGTTCACTTCCCTGTCCCAGCTCTTGGCTGCATGTCAAGCACTGAGTAAATGTTGAATGAATGAATGAATGAATGAACGAGATGAATTATATGAAAGGGTGAGTTTAGAGTTAAGGTGTGTTTGTTAGAAAGTGGGCTAAAGTGATCGTTATAGGATAAGCTTTTTTAGGAGTGTTCTAAGAAGTTTTTGAGTTTGGTTTGCCTCTTAAACCAGTTCTTAATAATTCCGCCCCAACTCATTGTATTTTAAGATAAGAGAGAGTCTTTGCTGATGGCTGTAGGTCACTTGCTAAAAATGTATCATTCTTCCTTCATCTTGTCTATCTGAATCCAAACACCATCTCTGCTACTTATAAGTGGGGTGTCCTTGGACAAGCGATTTCATCTCCGTGTGTTAATAATCAGTAACTTCCTCATGGGGTTGTTAAGAGGATTAAAAGAGATAATATGGGTAAGGTGTGTGGTGCATAAAGTGTTCGTGCATAGTTAAGTATGCAATAAACGTTAACTGCTCTGATTGTGCTTAGTAAAAGCAATGTTTCCTCTTCCTAGGGGGAGGTTCTGGATCCAGCTCCATGAGCAGGGGAGAGATGAGCTTGGCTGAGGTTCAGTGTCACCTCGACAAGGAGGGGGCCTCCAATCTGGTGATTGACCTCATCATGAACGCGTCCAGTGACCGAGTGTTTCATGAAAGCATTCTCTTGGCCATTGCCCTTCTGGAAGGAGGCAACACCACCATACAGGTAGGAAGGCAACTGGTGTGGCATCCCTGCCAAGCAGGAGGAAAGTCTGTTCTTGGAACCAGGTACCCGGGTGGTGCCAAGACTTGTATGAGGGACAGCTCATACTTAGTGCACAAAATTCTGTTTTGAAAAACAAAGTCTACCCATATCCTGCTGGGATCATTCAGTCATAACTCAGACTCGGTTCCAAAACATGAGTTGCATTTGAAAATTGATAAAACGCTGAAGGATGTGCAAAGAAAATTGGCCCCAAACCTGGAACCTAGTGGGTACTCCATAAATTTTCGTTGAACGAATGATTGAATGATGTTTATTTACAGTTTTTATCCAAGACTGTAGGGGATATCATTACAAGATAACCAGAAGAGAGTTTGAACTGTATGTGTGCTGTTTAGACTATTTAATTTTTATATCTATAGACACTGTAGCTGTTGCTTGCTGTGAATTTCTCTGCCTTTTAATTGAAAGTTCAGTAACACCAAACCAATTTGATTCATAGGAACCAACAGGGAAAAGCCAGGCTAAGTTAGTAAAAAATGGTAGGCAATTTTTTGAAAGCTAAGTATAATATATATTTTTAAATAATTTTAAAAACCAGAATTCTGATTCTAGTTCGCTGCTTGTAGAAGTCCTTAAAAAACAATTTTAATAAAATATAAATAATGTAACTTCTACATAAAAATGCATTTAAAATGATTCCCATTAATATTGTTAATACCTCCTTCTTCCTCTTCCTTGGTTGGCTCTCTGAATAAAGGTTGTGTGTGTGTGTGTGCGTGTGTGCGCACGCGTGTACATATGTACCTGCACTCACACATATATATTTTGATAAAAGGTTTATTGAGATATAATAATTCATATACCATAAAATTTACCCTGACATGTATATTCAGTCTGACATATTCTTGGCCTTGAAATGAAGCTCAGCATCTGGATTAATGAAGTCCTGGTTCTTTGCACAAGTTAGAAAAGGGCGTTTCTTCCTATGAGTCGCTGCGCCCTGGGCAAGGGCGCCTGGCTTGGTGAATGCGGCACAGTGAGATTTCAGTCCCTACTCGCTTTTCCAGCCAGCGCCCTTGTGCCTTGCACAACCTGTGCGGCCAACTACAGTGGCTCTTTCTTGCTTTCCAATCCCCGCTTGCCCCAACACACACTCTGGAAGTTTGTTATCACGCATCGCACCAAGCTGAGATTTGTGACAGTGAGTTAGTCACCTGGGCCAGTGGCAAGGCCTACTGTTTGTCTGAGCTGTCACAGGAGCACATGAGTTGTTACATATTGAGATTGTTGTTTGATTTTGTCACATAAGTATGGGTGGGTCTTGCAGTCCTTCTCATTGCCCACCCACTGCTGTGTTCATAGTGTCTGGGTTCACATGTTGGGAGGAAAGCAATGTGGAAATGCTCCTTGTCTTTGAACCATATGATTTCCCGTGACTAGATCAGTTGAACTAAACACTCATGGAGCATTTCTGTATATATGTTGCTGTACGAGGGTGACAGGGCAATGGATTCCAGACATCAGAGCCAGTCAGTCTATCAGAATTTCCTCCAGGCTTAGCCAAGTGTGAAAAGTGAAGGCAAGGTGATGAGTTTTTCATAAACCAGTGTTTTCAATTTGAAGGAGTGCCCGATCGTTTCATTCTGAGATTCTCTCTCTTCAACTTTTATTTTTAGCTTCAGAGTCTTGTCTTTAATGAAATGGTACTGATAATGGAGAACAGGATTTTTTTCCCTATTAGTCAAATAAGAAGTTGAAAACCCTCGGTTATTCCATCCCTTCCCGAAATGTTTAAACGTTTGCTAATTTGAGAATTCCCAGAATCCCAGAAGCTCAGTCTTCAAGAAATTGACTATCTTGCAAAGATACAAGGACATGTATACGGGCATATAGAAAGTTGTGTCTCAAGAATCATGCTTAGGGCCATTCAAGAACTAAAAGTGATGCTATGGAGCCACCAAGAAGGAAGGACCAGCACTTTCCATGCCCGTGTTGCTGTGAGGAGTTTGTGAAATGTCTTTTGATGAAATGGGCTTTGAAGGATAAGTATGGGTTCGAAAGGTGGAAATTGGTCATGAACTGAGGCATGGGGAGGCGCCATCGTACTCCAAGGAAGATAAGGCCCAGAAGTGTGAGAACAGCTTTAGTGTCCCCAGAACAAGGATTAGGTCTCTCAGGCTGAGGAGCACCCTGTAGGAGAGATGAAAGGGCCTGGGATGGGTGTTGGGGTTGTGTGCAGGAGCAGTGCAGCCTTCCAAGGGCTTCAGGGCTGTCAGGTAAGACTATAAATCTGGCGGTATAGGACTGACAAATTGAGGGAAGCAGTGTCCAGGAGGAAGCTGTCTAATAATTACAAAGTTAATTAGCAGTAATCTAGGGGAGAGCTAATGAGAGTCTCAGCTTAAAACAAATCTCTGATAAAAGAGGTCATAACTTGGAAGAGGATATTTCCCACAGGGGCACCAGGGAGCACTTTGGATGCTGGGAACACATTCTGTCTGTTGATCCAGGTGTGGATTATTGAGTGAGTACATGTTTAAAATGCAGTGAGCCCTACATTCAAGATTGGTCTGCTTTACTGGACCTACGCCATACCTCAATAATAAAATAAAAGGGGTAAAAATGAGAGCCTGAACCTTGCTGAAACTAAAGGAGAGGGAGAGGGTAGGATGTCACAAACGGAGGCTCTGTCACTCCCTGCTCCGGGCTCAGGCCTGGACCTGCTGGCACTTGGTAAATGTTGGCTGAAATGGCACCTGTGATGTGGGAGAGGAAAAGGTTGGAGGTCCCAGTTGTCTCTGGGCTTTGTGTCAGGATGACTAGACGCCTGAAGGCACCATTAATTAAAGAATAACGAGGAAGCCTAGAGCGGCTGGCGGGGGCCAAGGGCCACCAGTACCCAGGCTTGCTGGGGAGATGAAGTCTGGGGCTCTGGCGAGATGCCTTGTTTTTCACATTGCACTCCTGATGGTGGTGGCAAGGCACACAGAAGCTGTTTTTCCTTCAAGTTCTTTATCTTGTAAAGTAATTATGAATATTAGCTTCATGTTTTCACACATTTATTACTCATATGCTCAGGTCTAGAGGAAACGCTGCGATGGAGTTACAGTGGCTCAGTCATGTGGGGAGTGGAGCCGTTTTCTCTTGAAGGAGCTGGGGTTCTCAGGAGGAAGCGGACTGGGCCTGGATATGGTATCCTGTGGCCCCTGGCCAGGATGGGAAAGCATGGTCCTGAGGGGCTGCACCCACATGCTCTCACTCTCTCTCTTTCTCTCTGCCCCTTCCTTCTATGATCTCTGGGGGACCAAATCTAAACCACTGCTTCACAGGAGGTCTGTAGTTCCAGGAAAATTTCTTCTAGCCTAGTGTTCACTTGAAAGATCCTCTTGGCCCTGAGCTTCTCTTTCTCTGGAGAAAATGATGTGGAACTAGGGTTGTTTCTAAGGCCAGTTAAGGACAGGAACCCTGAAGGCCTAGGGGGAGTGATTCAGAGTTTTGTCTTGCTGTAGAGAAGCTGGTTCAAAGTAGTCAATGACCAGCTGGAACATGAGTCTGACAGGGGTTAAGACTGCAGTTCTGGCTGTCAATGACTGCTGAGACACTGTAATCCATTAAAGACAAGGTTGGTCCCAGCTGGAGCCCGCTGATCACTAACACTTCCTGCTCCGTGTGATGTGTATGGTCCCAAGAAGGGAAATTGGTCTGTGGTCAGAGGGGCCTCATGAGATTTATGTTTCCCAGTGACGGTGGTAGAAAGGGGAATTGCAGAAAAGCAGGCAGAGCTACATGGTTCCAGTCTGCCTTCCACGTTCTCAGGTTCCACATCTGCAGACTCAACCCACTGCAGATTAAAAATATTCGGGGAAAGAAATTTTTAAAAAAGTATAACAACTATTTACATAGCACTTACATTGTACTAGGTATTATAAATAATCTAGAGATGATTTAAAATATATGGGAGGATGTGTGTAGGTTTTATGCAAATACAGCATTTTATATTAAGGACTTGACCATGTGTGGATTTTGCTGTCTGTGGGGGTCCTGGAGCCAATCCCCAGGAATATCAAGGGACTGCATTCCCTGTCCAAGGATAGGGCTGCTAAAGAGCCCTTATGTTTAGTAGCACCTCCTCTCAGGATTTGGAACATGTTTCTCTTGCAAAAGAGAAATGAAACCTGCTTTCAAATCCAGCTTTGTGTGAGATTAGGGACATTGTCTCTGGGCTTCTGTTCCCATGTCTACCAAGTATGAGGTTTAATGGACTCCCAGTTTCCCTGCAGCTTTGAATCAGGACATTTCATATTTCAATCAGTAATCATTAGATATTTTCCCAGGGAGTCTTAGAACCCAATAGCAATGGCTGACTGATTACATTTCTGAAGTCTTCCCAGGCTTATTCCATTCATACAGTGGAATACTAGTCAGCCATAAAAAAGAATAAACTTGATAAATGTAGTAACTTGGATGTGTCTCAAAAGCATTGTGCTGAGAGGAAAAAGCCAGTCTCAAAAAGTAGCATACTCTATGGTTCTATTTATATGATATTTTGAAAGGACAAGACTTTAGTAATGGAGAACAGATCGATGCTTGCCAGAATTAGCCATGAGGGGAGAATTTGACTAAAAAGAAATAGCACAAGGGAGTCTTTTGAGTGATAGAACCATTGCATGTCCTGCTTTTGGAGGTGGTCACATGAATCTAAACATGTGAAAATTCATACAACAATACACCAAAAAAGTCAATTTTACTGTATAATAGTTTCAGAAATTAAAAAAGGAAAAAAACATAATGATGAGATAATAACCAACACTCATTAAGTGCTTACTGTGTGCCAAGAATTATGCTTAAGGACTTTTCACGTATCATTTAATCTTCACGGCCTCCCTATGAAGTAGATGTCATGATTATCCCTTTTTATAGATGAGGAAACTAAAACTCAAAAATAGCTAAGGAACTTGTTCCAAATCTCACAAGCAGGAAGTAGCAGAGCCAAGAGTTGAGCCCAGGCAGCCTGGTACTTCAGACTCCTCCTTGCCCTTAATGGCTTCATTCTTCAGGATGATCTGAGGAAGAATGGCAGGTGCTTAAGGAAGGAAGGTGACATAGCTATTCCTTACAAGGTAAATGCTTGTCATCTCCAAAGATAGAGGCATAGGAGGCTTGGTGGTGGATTCATGGCTGCAGAACTCAGTAGATAAGACACGTGTGACTAGTATCCAATTTCATTTTGTTTGAAGATTTACTGTTTATGAAGTCCTTTCATTCAAGATATCTCATATGAGTCTCCTAGTTGCTCTGTGAGGTATGTTGGGCCTACATTATACCCACTGTAGAGATGAGGAAACAGAAGCTCAAGAGGTTATGACTTCAAGCTGCAGAGCTGGACAAAACCCATGCCAAATCTCCCATGCCTCTTGTACCCTCCTTTCCTACATGTCATTTTGGTTATCTATCATTGAGTAACTAACTACCTCAAAATTTGATAGTCATACCTGTAATCCCAGTACTTTGGAAGGATAAGGCAAGAGGATTGCTTGAGCCTAGGAGTTCGAGACTAGCCTAGGCAACATAGTGAAACCTCATCTCTACAAAAAAATAAAAAATTAGCTGGGCATAGTGGCATGTGCCTATAGTCCCAGCTACTTGGGATACTGAGGTAAAAGGATCTCCTGAGGCCAGGAGGTTGAGGCTGCAATGAGCTGTGATCATGCTACTGTACTCCAGCCTAGGTGACAGAGACCCGAACTCAAAACTAAAATAAAATGAAAAAAATAATAATAATAGTTTAAAGCAAGGCTATTCTGATACCTGTCACAGTTCTTTGTGCTTAGGCTCAGCTCGGTGGTTCTTTTGCTTTGTGTGATCTTGGCTGGGGCTGATGGGTCTTAGAATAGCCAAGATGGCCACTTGCATGGCTGTGGCAGTTGGTGCTGGCTCTCAGCTAGGAACTCACCCAGGATATTGCCTGGGGTGCCTTGGTTCTCCATGTGACTTCTCCATGTGGTTTGGGCTTTGTAGAGCATGGTGGCTGTGTTCTGAGAAGAATGTTTCAAGAAGCAGGAAGCTACCAGCCTTTTCAAGGCCTGACTTGGAGTGCCTAGAATGCCACTTCTGTCACATTCTATTGATCAAAGCCAGTCATGAGTCCAGCTCCATTTCAAAGGGAGGGAAGAAAAGCTCTACCCTTCATTGTGAGGAGGGTATAGGTATGAAAAGAGAGAGGAAATTGTTGGGGACCACTTTTGAGACTGGCTTCCTTTTCACCACTCCCCGTTAATAGTCGATTGAGCACCTACCATGGTGCTCAGTCAGTCATTTAGGTCCCTGATCTGGATGCTGCAGTTGCAGCAAACGGAGACTCCATGTCTCTGCAGTTGAGGAGTTTGGATCTCCCTGGGTCACTCAATCCCTTCTTTGTAAACTGTTGACTCATGTCATTCCTCTTTTGCATGTAGTATGAAAACTTAGTTCTATCCTGAGGATATGATTGCTGGGGACCATAGCTTTTCAGAAATTCTGGGTTTTATTGCCTACACCCTAGAGGAATCAATTTGTGAGAATCCAAAAATAAGGACACACAGTGCTTGCTAGGTACCCTCATGGAGAGAGTCTGCCCCCTTATTCTGAAACCCTGTCATCCATCACATCATCCCCTAAATCCCTGAAATGCCTGGAAGCCAAATTTAGTCGCTTTCTCAGTCTGGCATATTGGGTTCCCAGGGATCGTGTCCCCATGTCTTCCAACATCTTCTATCCCTGCCCTGGCTTTTCTGATGGTGGTAACATCTGAGGATGGATCCTACCTCCCAAATTTTCCTGCCTGATTGCCATCAGAGCAGCTCAGGCTTCATGTTGAACCCTTCTCTTATAGGAACAAGAAGATGGTACCTCAGCCCTTGGATACTCCAAAAATGGGTGACACATTGCCAGGCAATAGGATCAAACTTGTCTTGAATAGTACTTCCTGCTTTCTTTCTCCCCACTCTGGTGCCACCCCCTTCCTGCCAGCCTCCAGAAGAAATATTTCCTTGCGGCTTGATGTTTTGTAGCAAGTGGGAAACTATAAAATAAGCATTTGCTTATGAATTAATTTTTGGCACACGCGAGGCTCAGCAGGGCTCACGGCACTTTCATATCCGTCCTTCGAGTTCTTGCCAATTTCTGTGTTCCTTCCTCCTAAGATGTTCCCACCAGCACCCGGGGGAAGTTCCCTTCGCTTCCTCTTCCTCACAGAAGGACAAGGGCTGTCCTTACCTGGAATGAAGAGGAGGAGAGTCTATCTTTGAACATACCTAGTTTGTTATTTTAAGCAAATACAGATGTTTCGGGATATATGTGCCAACTTGACCATAGAGAACCTCACAGCAAGTTAAGGGGATAGATATTTTTAAATGTTTTTGGGCACATCGGTTCTGGTTACAGAAGCATAGGGAATTGTCTGTATCAAGTGGCTGCCCACGACTGTTCCTATGCCAAGGTCTAGTCTACAGACACACCCGAAAAGGGTTTTCTTTTCTGCACGTACGCAGCAAGAGATGGAAAATGTGAGACGTGCTCCATCAGGAAACTGGCCTATGAATTCAGCGGAGAGAGAAATCCCTAGTTCATGAGGCCTTTCCCCCACCGCACTTTTATTTTTTGAGGTTTGGCTTGAGAAATCTCACACCCTTCCAGAAGAAGTCACCACAATACGGCGTGGGAGGGACACATTAGGTTGGCTACCTCTGACCCCCGTTAGTAGGTAGGGCAGAAAGGACGATTGATTTTCCTCTGCTGGAAATGGAAGGCCAGTTTGTGAGGAAGATCAGCGTTAGTTAGACAGGGCAGTCACCCTGAGGAGGAGGAAAAGATTGGTGTGTGAGCAAGTTACGTAAATGGGTGTTGTTTTTGGCAGGGAAGTCAGAAATGAGTCATTTCTGAGTGGTGTTTTCTAACCTCAGGTTTTATCCATGTGGGAAAGGAGCAGAGCCAACAGTAGAGTCAGGGCAGCTCTCTCTTTAGCATGTGGGGGTTTGGGAGCCGTTGGCATTAAAGAAAGAGGAGGGCAGTGGCCTGTCCCCAGCAGGCTTCCTGAAAGATGCTGCCCTTCAGCTGAAGCCATGAGGGATCTGAACAGCGAAGCCGCCCCTGCTTTGAGAATTGGTGGTATAAAGGTTGGGAATTTGGGGAGGACTCCCTAGAGGGGAGCCTATCATGCAAAGGAGTTTGGCCTCCAGACTCGAACACTTGTGTTGAAATCCCATGGCAGCCTTGAGTGACCTTTGGTTTTTCTCAGGGCCACTGTGAAACTCAGTTTTCTCATCTGTAAAATGAGGGTTAGAAAAACGTGGTCCCTTCCTTATGGAGCTGTTGAGAGGATTAAACAAAGCCCATGGCAGTAAAACATATGGCCCAGTAGACACGCAGAGCTGCTGCCAAGAGTACTGAGTTTGTGGCATGGGGATGGCTCAGGATCAAGCCCTGCCCCTGCCATGTCCACCTCAGGACTCTGGGCAAAGTCCACCCCTCCCATCTCGCTTCCTGATCTGGAGAGCAGGATGGTGACAATTCCCACGTCACAGGATTCCAGGGATGGTTAAACAGGCAATTCACAGAAAGCTCCTTACATGGCATCTGGCTCACAGAGACCTCAAGGTGTGGTGGTTTTTACTTTTATTAACTCTTTTTTATTTTTTTAAAAGAAACGGGATCTTATTGTGTTGCCCAGGCTGGACTCGAACTTCTGGGCTCAAGGGATCCTCCTGCCTCAGCCTCTTGAGTAGCTGGGACTATAGGCATGCCACCACACCCAACTCTAATGAATTTTTTATTTACTTTAAATACAGGCTGAATTTTGTGAAATTTGTTTCCTGTCAAAAATCCTATTGATATTATTTTTGTATAGTGCTTTGTCATCCAGGGGACTTGGGGGATGCTCTGTTTTATGTTATTTTCACACTCAATTTACCCAAGTCCCTCTGAATATCTGTATATTGAAAACTATTTTAGGGATCCAGAAGGTTAGGAAACTTTGTTGCCTTGAGTACAAGTTACTTATACTGAGAAACATTCTGGATGAAGCAGGAAGAAAAAAAGCAATCTAGTCACTTCTTTCCAGTTTAAACTACCCCTTGGCCCAGGTCATTGTTTTCGCTTTCTTCTTCTTCTTCTTCTTTTAATTTAAATAATGTCTTTTGCATAACACCTTACCTTTCTTCTTCATTCACAGGAAACTGGAGTGTCATTGAACAAGAGCCTTTTAGGATTATTGGTCTAAATTAAGATCTTAAAAATGGAAACTTGAAATTCAAAAGTAGTTCCATTGGGGGCATATCAGACTTATGTGAACTCTCTTGCAAAGGAAGATGGCGGCTCCCATAGCTCTGCCCTGGTCATGGTTAGTGCAGCTCTCCAAGTGACAGTGGAGAGTGATGCATGAACCTACTCACACCCAGTTTCACAGTTTGGGGCACACTAAATTACTGCAAGAGTTGTCAGCCTCGTTCATCTGTAGCTCCTTCCTAGTTTGGTGATAAGAAGCCCATCCCTTTGAGGTTGTCCCAGGGTAAAGTGTGTGCCCCAGTTCATGCTTCCAGAGGAATCGGAGACACAGTTTATTTTCTTTCTTTCCTGAGTAGGAAAGGCAACAATATGCATAGAAGTGACGGTTACGTATATCTGCTCATCTGGCCTTCCCTTAGAGGACAGCAGTTGTTGGGGGCGGGAGGAGATCTTTGGAAGCAGAATTTAGTCTCCTCCTTTCCTGCAAAACCTGTGAGCAGGAATTAGTTTCTAGGAGCTGTCTTTGAAGGAAGCCTCAGATTTCCATGGTCTCCAAAATTTGACTGAGGTGCACAGAAAAATGACAGAGAAGACTTGAAAATAGTTGTTAATTGAGCCATTATTTCACTTTACCCTATTGCATCCATAGCAGATCCAGATGTTCCTTCTTTCTTTCTCTTCCTTGAGGTCTAGCAGGAAGTCTATACTTTTCCTAACTTTCCTCAATGACTTCTGAGTATGGGATGCCTCTTGCGAACTGCCAAACTCACATCATGATTTCCTCTGTTGGCTTGTGATATGTTCAAGAATTAGTAAATGGTGACCCACAGGCAAAATTCAGCCAGCTACCTGTTTTTCACATAGTTTTGTTGGAACACAGCCATGCTTCTTCCTTTCATATTGTCCAGAGCTGCTTTTATGTTACAATGCAGGGTTGAGTAGTTGCGACAGAGACTCCATTATCCTCAGAGCCTAAAATATTTACTGTTCGGTCCTTTGGGAAAATGTTTGCCAATCCCTGGGTTTGTTTAATCTTTACTACCTGGAGATTATTCTGTTTAAGGGAAAGAATCATGCCTCCCCCTTTGTTCTGTGTTCTTCAACCCCTTGTGTGAAAATTATAGGTTTTAAGTAAATATTCACCAGATGAGCAATATCCTAAGTCTCAAGATATTTGAGCCACTTACTCAGCTAATAAATGGGAATTCAGGGAAACAGAGGTCTCTTTTCTTTCATTCTTTCTTTACTTTTTCTTTCTGTCTTTCATTTATTTCAGTGGGGATGGATGGGGTTATTTTTTAGAAGACATTTTTCCTCTCTAGAAGTGATCTCCCCTCTCCCTTCACTGCCTCCACTGGGATGTATCCCATCATTCCTGTTTACCACCTTTCAGCACAGATTTGGGTAAGGCAAGTCATTCCTTGGGCAATTGTATATGTGGCCCGAGAGTTCAGACAACTGAGATTCTGGACTTTTGATCTATGAGTTCTCCCACCCCCCAACTGGCCTACCAAAGAGCATCATGTTTAAAGGTTAGTCACTTCCTTATGGCCCAATGCTATACTATTCCAGTGCCTCCTGAATGTTTTCCTAGTGGTGAACACCAGGACTCCTCAGGGCATGTGCACTTGACCTAAAAATGTCTGAAATGTTGGAGCCTTGTCTCCAGCCTGTTTGTCTTCTTTTTCTACAAACCCTCCAGGTGACCTCATCTACTTCAAGGCTTCCAGCTACCATTTATGCCAACAATTCCTAAAGGTTTTGCTCCTAGCCTTATGTCTCTGGTGATTTCTAGACTTTTGCTCCCATCCCATCTCTACTTGTGTTAACTATAAGAAGTTAGCATGACCCCATCATGCTGTCATCCCCTTTCCTCCACTCCTTTCGGCCTCTTGTACTCCATAGCTGTGTGAGTGGACTCCCCCC